TGCAGATCTTCTCCAAGTCATTTAGGTTTCGAGGCTGACGTTTGGCAACTCGAACCTTCAGCTCCCTCCACAGATTTTCTATGGGATTAAGGTCTGGAGACTGGCTAGGCCACTCCAGGACATTAATGTGCTTCTTCTTGAGCCACTCCTTTGTTGCCTTGGCCGTATGTTTTGGGTCATTGTCATGCTGGAATACCCATCCACGACCCATTTTCAATGCCCTGGCTGAGGGAAGGAGGTTCTCACCCAAGATTTGACGGTACATGGCCCCGTCCATCGTCCCTTTGATGCGGTGAAGTTGTCCTGTCCCCTTAGCAGAAAAACACCCCCAAAGCATAATGTTTCCACCTCAATGTTTGATGGTGGGGATGGTGTTCTTGGGGTCATAGGCAGCATTCCTCCTCCTCCAAACACGGCGAGTTGAGTTGATGCCAAAGAGCTCGATTTTGGTCTCATCTGACCACAACACTTTCACCCAGTTCTCCTCTGAATCATTCAGATGTTCATTGGCAAACTTCAGACGGGCCTGTATATGTGCTTTCTTGAGCAGGGGGACCTTGTGGGCGCTGTAGGATTTCAGTCCTTCACGGCGTAGTGTGTTACCAATTGTTTTCTTGTTAACTATGGTCCCAGCTGCCTTGAGATCATTGACAAGATCCTCCCGTGTAGTTCTGGGCTGATTCCTCACCGTTCTCATGATCATTGCAACTCCACGAGGTGAGATCTTGCATGGTGCCCCAGGTCGAGGGAGATTGACAGTTATTTTGTGTTTCTTCCATTTGCGAGTAATCGCACCAACTGTTGTCACCTTCTCACCAAGCTGCTTGGCGATGGTCTTGTAGCCCATTCCAGCCTTGTGTAGGTCTACAATCTTGTCCCTGACATCCTTGGAGAGCTCTTTGGTCTTGGCCATGGTGGAGAGTTTGGAATCTGATTGATTGATTGCTTCTGTGGACAAGTGTCTTTTATACAGGTAACAAACTGAGATTAGGAGCACTCCCTTTAAGAGTGTGCTCCTAATCTCACCTCGTTACCTGTATAAAAGACACCTGGGAGCCAGAAATCTTTCGGATTGAGAGGGGGTCAAATACTTATTTCCCTCATTAAAATGCAAATCAATTTATAACATTTTTGACATGCGTTTTTCTGGATGTTTTTGTTGTTATTCTGTCTCTCACTGTTCAAATAAACCTACCATTAAAATTATAGACTGATCATGTCTTTGTCAGTGGGCAAACGTACAAAATCAGCAGGGGATCAAATACTTTTTTCCCTCACTGTAGTTGTCAAACCTCAACCCTATATTGAAACTGATACATTTTATGATTTATACTAGTTTAAGCCATGCACAGTTTTTAATTGGAGGCAGACAAACCAATGAATTCCTTTCTCTTTTGAGTAATTGTCACTTCCATTTTTGTGGCAGAGCTGCAATGAGTTGGCTATACTTTTGTATTGAGTATTTATCTCCATACACATTTGTTAATTTCTTGTGTGACATAATTTGACCGTACTTATTTACATTGTCATTCATAAACATTATACCTTTTTTTAATCTATCAGTACCTTGGAGTTTAGCCATATTATTTGCTGTAATAATTGTTCTGCCTCTTCTGGAGGATGAAATTGGAATTTTAACCAGCTCTGTATGGCTTCATTTAAAAAGGAGAATACTTTAAACTGGGTTCTGTTATCAATCCACCGGAAATTGTTTGTTTTAATCAGTATAACAGCAAAAAGCCCCCCTTTGAACATAGGATGTGCCTCTTAGTATCCTGCTGGAAAACCAGTTTGGATTTAGATATTATTTTGGTATAATAGAGGCTTTAAGAGAGAGGTTTAATGCCTTAATATCCAAACTCATGTTGGTTATATAAATATGCCCGTTTAACTTAATCTGGTTTGCCATTAAAATGAAATATTTTGAACAAACATATAAACTGTGATATCAATAGAGAATTAATCAGTGTAACTTTCCTGTAGATGGACAGGGGTTTCCCTCTCCATGATTTAAGGATCCTATCTATTTTGCTAAGTTTTCTATCAAGTTAATAGTTCCAAGATTGTTAAACTTTGCTGGTATATGTACACCAAGCACATCAACTTCACCATCCGCCCATTATATCGGGAGGCCACATGGCAATTTAAAGTTTGTGTCTTTTAGAGACCCAATCCATCATATAATACACTTATCATAGTTGGGTTTTGTCCAGAGAAACTGGATAAATTATCCAGGTCCTCAATAAGGCCCTTCAAGGTTGAAGATTGAGGACTTGAATCATTGGCATACATCGACACTTTTGTCTCTAATCCATAAATGTTTTGCCCCTTAAAGCTTCAACATGTAACTTTTTGGGCGACCAAATTCACATAGAAAAGTGAGTTATAGATCTGTCATTCTCATTGAAAGTCTAAGAAGCGGTATATCTGTTCTGTGAGCTATTTGTATGCTTCCCATTCTTAAGTTTAGTTTTTGCATCTTTTAATTTCAGTTTTGTACACCAGCTGAAAATACAATATTTTTGCAGTTTAGATGGTACAATGATTCTCTACACTATATGTGCTTGTTTTGTCACATAAACTGAAATTAGAATTTTTGCAACCAGAAAATGGCAGAGCGATTTCTGCAAAGTGCAGCTTTAATGTTATCATTAGATCAGATTTTTACAACTAACAGTTCAATGGCTATAATAAATAAGTCTGGTGACAGAGGGCAACCTTGTTTTACTCCTCTTGACTATTCAACATTCTCAGAGAAGTAACCGTTATTTATTACTTTACATAAAGGATTGTTGTACATGACTTCTACCCATCTTATGAGAGATTCTGCAAAAGTAAAACAAATTCTAGACGCACAGTATCGAAGGCTTTCTCAAAATCTGCTATAAAGATTATACCTGCATTCTCATAGTTTCAATTATTTCTAGTAGTTGTGTAATGTTGTCTCCAATATATATTCCTTTTAAGAATCCCGTCTGATCGTGATTAATAAGGTCTGGTAGGACCTTTTTAATTAAAATATATATTTTTAACATTGAAGGTTGAGGGGCCTCCAATCTTTTAAAGTTACTGGGGCTTTTTTACTGCCTCCCTGGCTCCTGCTTCAGTAAGAGAGTGATCAGTCCCTCTTTCTGTGTGTCCGACAGGTGGCAATTAATATACGAGTAATTAAAACATAATATTAATGGTTCATAAAAAGTTTAATATATCTCTATTGGAATGCCATCAAGGCCAGGGGTTTTCCACGTCTGAAAGGAGTCAATTGCCAACCATAGTTTGTCCTGTGTAATTAGGCACTCACAATATTTTGTGGGTGCCTCAAATAGTTAAAGATGATTTTTTGGGAGAAGGATATCACAAAACTCATCATCAAATGAGGTTTGAGGAACTTGACAAGAGAACATTCGTTTAAAATATAGATAAGGATTTCTCCATCTTTGTAACTATTTTCTGTAGGTTCTTTTTGGTTGTGTTTCTATATTGAATGTTTAGGAAAAACTTGGTGCATTTCTTGCAATTCTCCATCCAATTTGCTCTGTTTTTTAGATAAGTGAAACACGATTTTTCATGAATAAGTTCCTCAAACTCCTTTTACTTTGGGTTTAGATTATTCAGTGCTTCTGTAGTACATTCATCAATGTCAGATTTTCTATTTCTGTTGTAAGTCTTTTCTCTGTTGAACGATTTTTGGGGGGATGAAGATTGAATTGAATGGCCTCCCATATGATAAGTGGGTCCGCTCAACCTGTATTGTGCAAGAAAAAATATGTTATGAAGTCCTTAGTTTTTGTTAAGAAAGTTCTGTCAGTCAACAAACCCAGGTAAAAATTGTAATATCCCTGTCCTCGTGGAAAGTATGTCATAGTTATATGGAGGGATATATGTCACGACTTCCTCCGAAGCTGCCTCCTCTCCTTGTTTGGGCAGGCTTCGGCGTTTGTCGTCACCGGCCTTCTAGCCACTGCCACTCCTCATCGCATCATTCCATTTGTTTTGTCTTGTTTTTACACACACCTGGTTCATATCCCCTCATCAGTACCTGTATAAGTATTCCCTCTGCCCCCCATGCCTTTGTGTGTGATTGTTTATTGTGGAGGTGACGATGGCTCGTGGAGCTTTATATATTTGTATCACCGGGATGTTCACCTGTGTGCTTTGTTTTCTCCAGTGTGCCGTTATACCGCACTGTAGTGTTTTACGCATTGCTGCGTACCGCTGTATTTGCCGAATAAACCATTTATTCTGTGATTTACCCTCCTGCGCCTGATTCCATCAAAATCACCCGCTACAATATAAGTTGATGATATGATCACATTCAATCCTCAATCAATACTTTTTTCACTTTTGGCACCATAGAAAAGGATACCAGAAAAGAATACATCCGACTAGCTTGATTAAGCCTCCTCCAAGTATATCTTACAAGATCCGTTTTTTTAGCCAATATCAGTCAATTCCAACGCGCCCATAATATTCATAATCTCTTTGAGCACCAGAGGGTGATAGTTGGTAGTATGATTGCCTTTACGGTTCACTGACTTCCTTAAAACTGTGTTGTAGTCCCTTACCATGTTGTTTGTATCTAATTAGATTATTATAAATATTTTCAAAGAAGTTTGGATCGTCATTATTCAGTCCATATACATTTATGAGCCATATCTGTTTATCATCAAGTAATATATTCAAAGCAATCCATCTTCCTTGAGGATCTATTTAAATGGATTGCACTTCAAGATCTAGAATTTCTTTGCCCATGACAGAAATAGATTTTACCATCCCATTCTTTTTCCAAGGCCAGTTCGTCAGAATATATTGAATTACCTTCCTGTAAACAATAAATATGGTAGAACTTTTACTCGCAGAACATTACCACGCAGAACTTTACCTAGTATAACTTTTTTGCAGAACTTTGCCCCGTGTTCGGTGTCACTCAAACTCTACTGTGTTGGAGGGCGTAAGTACATCACATTGAAGGACTTTCTGGTCTTTTAGATATTGGCTACTCAATTAGTAAGAGTTAATACCTGTGATTTGCTGTTGCTTGACTGGTTGGAGGAAAACTCAGAGTACTTCGTCTTCCGTGGTTCACAGACGCTGTCCAGGATCTTGCCATACTCCTCTCTCACCTACAAGGTGCAGAAGAGAGCACTATGAGCAGAGACGGTAGAGAAAGCGAGACATCTCACAGGCTTATTTTCTTTGGTCGAGCGGGGGTGGGGGGGAGGGAATAAGTAGACCAGAACCAGCTGTTATTGGGCAGTTTCCCATTTTAAAAAAGGGTCACATTCCTGTCTCTGTAAACGGGCATTCCTTCTCTAGTGTGACCATGTTTGAGCATGCGGTAAAGCATGCTCACGCGAGAGAGGGAACGCCCATTTACATAGACAGGAACCTTGACCATTTCTTTCAATGTTAGACTAACCGTTGCCCCCGCACATTGACTCGGTAGCGGTACCCCCTGTATATAGCCTCGCTACTGTTATTTTACTGCTGCTCTTTAAATATTATTATTATATATATATATATTTTTATGTATTCTTTCTTAAAACTGCATTGTTGGTTAAGGGCTTGTAAGTAAGCAATTCAAATGTAAGGTCTACTCCTATTGTATTCGGTGCATGTGACAAATACAATTTGATTTGATTTAAACAGCCTTCATGCAACATCTTCATTATCCACCATATTTGTTATGAGTCCAACAAGCACATATTTGCCTACCCTTAACTGTAGGCCCTACAGTAAACTAAACCCAATCAGTATTCTTTAAACACTTAACAACTCATTTGGAATTCAGCCAAAGTAGTATAACCCAGAGCCATGTATTTAGAGAGTTGGGCCAATGCGGTTTCTGCATTATGATGCATTTACATGACATTGTTAGCTCCCCATTAAAAAAACTATACATCTGAATGTCTAGAATGAGCATAATGATGCATTTACATGACAGTACAACATTCTATGGCAGCCATGTTAGCTCTCCATTAACATTTATGGGGAATATTTAAACAATGCTATGTAACTGAATATCTAGAATTAGAACAATATTCAGAATTCTAAAAGTTGGCCTAACTCTCTAAATATATGGCTCTGGTATAACCTATCGATTAGAAATACAACACATCCATGCTGGACAAGACTGACTCCCCCCAGGCTTTTGTTTTGTCTACAGCAGAGCCGTCCAAAGTGAGGCCCAAAAGCCAAACTTGGTCCTTGACATTTGGTTTGGCCCACCAGAAGCTTCCAGAATGATCTTATGTATTGATGAGCAATGTTATTTAAGGTTTTTTGGTCCGCGGCCCACTACTGAGATTACATTTCATCCCACCAAGCCTAACAGTTTGAACTCCCCTGCATGATGTCCATATTAGGAGTGCTTCAAGGACCCTGGTTGACAGAGTCTTGAGTCGTGATGTACCTGTTTAGAGAGCAGGCAGTGCATGAGGAACACCAGGACCCCCTGCAGACTGTTGAGGATGGTGAACAGGTAAGACATGGCCAGCGTGCTTTCCTCAAACTGGAAACAGCCAAAGATCCACATAGTGCCCAGCACACACAGCTGAGCCACTGCAGTTATGGTGAATGCCCTGCAGGAGGCGACAAACACACACAAAGTCAGATTGAGAGCATTGGTCACAACACATTGTACAGTCAGGCCTGTTTTTTTCCCCACATGTTCTGGCCAGGAAAAACAGTGGTCCTTTGTTATGGGCTATAACACAGCCATGTGTGAGAATGTCAGTTTCTTTGCCGACTCACTTGATTTTGCGGAGGTTGTTGAGATCAGGGTTCAGGCTGGAGAACTTCTGGGCCAACTTCCACACTGTGATGAGGAAGAAAAACACGTTTACCTAGGAGGGGAGAGGGAGATAAGTAGAACTGTAACATGACACAAAACATTGTAAGTAGGACTGATGAAACTATTCCACCTCTGATCTGTGATACACACCATGATAATGATACAGACAGGGCCAAAGAAGCTCCAAATGAATCCATCCTCCAGGTTGAGCCAGCAGCTAAAACACACAATACACACATGAATACACATGAATACCTGATCTCTATAGTACACAACAGACAGAAGGACAGAGAGTCAGACAAATGGATATAGGGAATCCAGTCAGGAGATGACACTATCTGGGATCGATGCAGTGGCAACTCACTGGCGCTCAGTGCCGTATCCTTTGGCGTTGGCGAGGGCAGAGATGGCGACGATGACAGCAGGAACGCCATAGCCCCCCGCCATCATGTAGAGGGGCCTGAAGGTGGTGTTGAAGACCAGGACCACCATCCTGAAGAGCTGCACTCCCTCCAGACACATCCAGCAGAACGCTGCCAGGAAGAAGAAGTGAAGCAGCCCTGCCACCACCACACAGCCAGCCTGAGGAAGAGAGGAGAGAGGGATGAAGAGAAAGGAAATGAAGGGGAGAGAGTGATCGAGAAAACTAAATGTGAAAAAAAGGACAGATACTGTCGAAAGTGATACGATTCACAATACGAGAAGTTACCCACAACAACAACAACAAAAATAACCCCTACCCACATAGACACAGCGCCTACGCCACATGTAAATGTTACACACATTGTCACATCCTCTGACCTCCCACGCCCAGAAAAGCTCAGTAGAGTTTTCCTTATTCAATCTTGTTCCGAGGGCAATTCTGCCTCGAGGGCAGAGCGATTGTGATTGGTTGGATGAAAGCTTACCTGGTTCTCAGTGCGTGAGATGCCGACGAGGAAGATCAGGTTGGCGATGAAGAGGCTGAGACAGAGGTGGAGGTGGATGGTATTGCGGGTGCTCTGGATGGAGCGGATCAGAGGAAGAGACAAAGCAGGGACAGGGACAGGCCCACCCAGGTGATCAGCTGCAGCTGGAATGTGTCCTGGAGGGATGAATGGAGGTGAAGACACACGTCACCATATAGTCACAGCAGTGGAGGCTGCTGAGGGGAGGACGGCTCATAATAATGGCTGGAACGGAGTAAATGGAATGGCATCAAACACATGGAAACCATGTGTTTGATGTATCTGATACCATTCCACCTATTCCCAGCCATTACCACAAGCCCCAATTAAGGTGCCACCAACCTCCTGTCAGTCACAGTGACTGACACAACTTTCATGGATGTGTCTTAATATAGACAACATACCCCTGGATAAACAATAATGGAGCCCTATCTAGCCAGGCAAGACACAGAACAAATTCTCAAAAAAATGTCTTCATGGATTCACTGTTCTCAAATGAATGCAAATGTTTTAAAAAGCCAAACAATCTCCATTTGCACAACTAAATTGCAGAATTACATAGAAAGTGAAATGAAACTATTAGAAAAGGCATTGTTCCTGCTCTATCTTACAGCAGAAGTACAGCTAGACTAATAGAGAAATCCCCCTCACCTTGAACTCATAGAGAGCCATAAGAACAGCAAAGCTGCTGAGATGGTAGCAGGAGCACACGGTGTGGGTGGCATTGGACTGCACCAGGAAACAGCCTCGATCAGACCAGGTCCCGTCTCCCAACTCAGCATCCCAGTACACACAGGTGTAGTTCCCTTCATCTGACTGGGAAACAACATTCATAAATACCATAGAAGAGAAGTAAAAAAACAATGTACAATGTATTCTAGGCACAAACAAGAGGCTGACATTTCGGTGTGTCAACACTTTTCATTACACCTAGTGCATCATATGAAGAAGTAGTTTTGATTACTGCCTGAATTCACATAGACCATTGTATGGATAGAGGGTTAATTGATCTTTTGTCTCCTCACCCCTTCCAATGGGAGAAGGTGAAATGGCACTGGTCCTTGAGAAATGTGGTTGTTCTTGTTACTAACGGAAGCCTTCCACACACTTTGGAGTTGATCTTGAAGCTGTGGCCCTCCGTGTGCCTTCCCCTGAGAAGGAAGTTGTGGATGTCCTCAGACCCTTTATAGCTGAGCAGGGCACACTGTCGCAAATCCTGAAGAAAGCATATCAAATCAATCATTATGTTCTTGTTCCATACACGTGTTTAGCAGATGTTTATTGGCGGGTGTATCGAAATGTTATATACTTCGAGCTCCGACAGTGCAGGAATATCTAACGAGGTTAATGATCGAACAATTTTCACAACATATACCCTTCACACAATCTAGTAAGGAATGGAATTTTACGAATAGATACAGATATGGACAAGCATTGACAGTGCATCGGACTACGATACAGTAGAAATATTATAGATAGAATACAGTATATACATATGAGATGTGTAGTGCAAGAATATGTAAACATTATTAAAGTGAATAAATATATGTTTACGTCTAGGAGTTTGTACACTGTGTTACTTTAATTTCACGTCACATTGTATATTACATTAACATTATAAAGATGGTTTCTTGATGATTGTGTATGGCTAGTGTTGAAGTTTTTTAAAATAGATGGGGATGATGAAGATGGTAACCTGGCTATGAGGATCTCCAGCAGCTCTCCGTGGCGTCTAAGCTGAGCGTGTGTTACGACAAGGTGAAGGACCCGGGGATGAGGATGGCATTCTCTGCACCAACATCTCCACCTCTGAAGCAAATACATTCACATCTTTACAAACAGGCCTAGTGAGATGTTTACAACTCTCAGAATGGTTATCTGCTATAGAGCAGACCTTGTACACGGAAATTATGCTAGAAAGGTACCCATTTACCCTAACGAATACTTTGCCAGCTATAAAAAAATGGCCACAAATGAACTTAGAACTTGCTTTGTAGAATAACAACGTTTCTTCGTCAGGTGCTTTCAAAGCAAACAATCATGGCTAGTTTATGTCTGACTCTTTATGGACCAGGAAACAACTGGAATTAAACAATAAACTGGGTTAGGACGTTCTCCTACCGTTGTGAGATTTGGACCTCCTCGGTCTCGGTGTGTTTCAGCAGATGTCCCTATCATTCTCAGAGCAGTCTCCGACTCTAGGTCCACAAGACACTCACTTTCTTGTTATCATTCAGTAGGCCCGCCAGACAGGAGCTGTCTATATCAGACACAGAGCTACAGAGACCGAGAGAGGGGGGAGGAGGGGGGCACATGAAACAGTTAGAGCGCTGAGACTTTTCTTTTGTCAACATGCAACAAGTACAGTGAAATGCTTAACTTGCAACCTAACCCCAAGCATTGCAGTATTCAATATCAAAATAGTTAATAACTAATAAAAAAATTAAATTTTTTAAATGCAATAAAAACACAAGAAATACGAGAAGAAAAAAAAGAAAAGAAGGAATGCCCAGTACCAAATTTTACATATATTATTTGGCAATCACATACCCCCACATGCTATGGTTGAAGTCATACACGCGATAGGAGGCTAGTTTCATTATAAGGCTAGCATGTACCACAATGCTGGTCCATCATCGTTTTTTTTCACTCCATGTCATGCTTGACGTTTAATGTGTTGGGGCTGTTTCTGAACCTGCATATGTCAACCTCTTTATGATCGATGCCTCGGGTTATAATGAGCCTCAAATATCATAAGAGCTCTAAATTAATAAGGGACTCGAATATAATGAAGGTCTCTAATAAAATATGGGACCTCTACTATAAATAAGGGACGCTAATATACATAAGGCCTCGAATATAAAAAAGGGTACAATGAAGAAGTGGACTCGAATAGAATAAGGGACGCGAAGATAAAGAGGGCTCGAAATATAAAGCAGGGACGCTAATATAATAAGCATAGTAACCAGCTAGCAGAGCCTCTCCATCCCCTTGGTCTGTTGTCTGATCTCACCAACTCCAACAAACTGGTCCTCATCAGGGCCACAGCAGCCTGGTCAGACTGAGGACTGAGAACGAGGGGATGAGGAGAGAAGAGGGAGGCACTTTAGTCTGTATTTTGTTCTTCAGATACTGTAGGTTTGTGATCGTACACGTATACTCATCCGGGCTTACCAGCTCAAGATGGTTTCTCACTCACAACCCTTGTCACAGTCAACTCTGTGGAAATAGCACGAAGCTGAGTGTAATCAAGGCTCTTAAATTGAAAATCTTTAAATCGAAAAAATGTTGGTTGCGACACTGATCATGCAGCGGAGGTATTGTGAAATTTGAATGTTATCTCCATCTCAAATGAGAAGCTTGATCTATAATGTGAATTCTCCCACCAGTCACACTTCCTGCGGGTCTCCGTATTGGTGAATCCTGCCTGCCAACGCATCACCGATGGCCACCATCGTCGGCAATTATTGCTCATTCCATTCCCTCCACAGATTGACACTTATCATTTTTACACAAATCTACATAAGGAATACAGAAAGCACAGGTGACATTTGCATAAGGTGTTCACATCTACCGAAAAACCGATCAAGTCACTAATTCATTACACATTCTGTGTCTAAAGAAATTAGTATCTGGTGCTCTCATTAGAGAAGAGGAGCAATTGGAGCAAAATACATCAAATTATTTAACTTTTCTCAAACTTCAAACACCCATAGGTTTCCCCAAATCCGGTTGGAAGATTCCATGAATAAGCATAAAAATGTAGTCCTCCAACACAGGATTTCTTGAAAACCCATCCAGGGTGATAATACAATTCATCCCATACCTTTATCACCTTGAGATCCGCACTGTTTGTGTTTGCTGTCCGTCTTGGCTGGCTCTCCTGATCTGTTATTTCCTCACGGATTTCCTTCCCGTGAATTGAGCTTTGCCAGACTTCAGGCCAACCCTGGGGTTGCAGACACAGTAGTAGTCCCCCTGGTGTGTTGCGCACTGTGTATGCTTCCCGTCAGATTGTGATGTCTTCCACACACTCTTTCTATCTCACATGGAGGTAAAAAAGACCTTTAGGATCGAAACTCTCACCATTCAATACAGACGACCTCCTGTATATTGCGCTGAAACGCTCTCGGGATTGTACTGGTAATCACATCTTTTGATATGTAGTGTTATTCACCAGTTATGTCTATGGCATCTTTACCTTTACATGTGATTGCTTTGGTCCCCCAAAAATATTTCCCATCCAGTACTGGAGTCAACCCATAATTTGCAGATGCAGAATAGGCTAGTAACTTACGCCCCTGCCCTTCCACCCGACCCTGTTCTCACCTCTCGGTGGATTTTGTACTCGATCTTTCCCTCTCCCATGGTCACAATAGCCACCATCCTTTTTCGTTGTGGATCTGGTTCTCGAAGTCCTGTCGTCTCCTTCCCCTGCCGGGTCGTCCTACGGCCCTACAGACCGCTGAGGCTCTATTTACTCACGGCTCCGGCATTACGGGTGCCCGAGGATATATTTCCGATGAGGCCCCCAGTTTACCCTCCAGAGTCTGGAGAGCATTTATGGAACGTTTTGGGGGTCCTCGGTGAGGGCCTTACCTCTGTTTAACCACCCGGCTAGTAATGGGCATGAGGTTTAACGAGTCAACCAAGGATGTTGGTAGGTTTCTGAGGTCATATGTCATGGCCGGCGGAAGGATGGGGCGAGATATGTGCCCTGGGCCGAATGGCACAGAACTCCCTCCGCCACTCCTCCACCCAACTAACCCCTTTCAGTGTGTATTAGGTTTACCAGCCGTTCTGGCACCATGGCATGAGAGCCAGATCGAGGCCCCCGCTGTGGATGAGTGGGTGCGGCTCTCGGAGGAGACCGTGGGACTCTGCACACGTCCATCTGCAGCGTGCCTAACGTTCCGACAGAAGACGAGCGCGACCTACCCGCAGTGAGGGGCCAGTGTACGCACCTGGAGATCGGTCTGGCTCTCAACCAGAAACCTGCCCCTCCGCCTGCCCCCTGGCCGGAAGCCTGGGTCGGCGGTTTTGTGGGGCCCTTTTTAAGTCCTGAGGAGATTGAACGAGGTGATTACAGGTTGAACTATCCTATTGATTAGCAAGAATATTAACCCCTCGTTCCTTGTCTCTCCTAGGCCGGTGGGTAGCTGGTCCACTCCCAGGACTTTTGAGATTGAGGAGACTCCTCCCCCCCCGTTGGACTCGAGGGGGCTCCGGCGTACACGGTTTTCGTTCGGACCATCCTGGGAATCGAGACGCAGGATGGGGGGTCTCCATTCTCGTGGAGGTGGGGAGGGGTACGGTCCTGAGGACGGTGCTGGGTGCCAAGGAGGACCTTCTGGATTCTTCCCTGATACCGAATTCCAATCCGTGGGTCACCTGCGCACCCTGCTCCTCGTCCCCCTGGTCGTCCCCGATGGGCCGAGGCGGGCGCCCGGCTGGGATCCGCGCGTCAAGGGGTGGGTACTGTCACGGTTTCGGCCGAGGCGGCTCGCTCCTCCTTGTTCGGGCAGGTTTCGCCGGTCGTCGTCTCCGGATTTCTAGCTAAAGCTGCCACCGCTCGATTTTTTCGTGTTTGTTTGGTTTGTCTGTTATCACAACTGTTTTGTGTTTAGGTTCTCGTTGACACCCTATTTAGTTTTCCTCTTTGGTATGTTTGTGTGTGTGTGATTGTTCCGTGTCCGTGGTTGCGCTACCCTGTTTACGTTACGCTATTTCCCCATAGTTTTCCTTTTCCCTCCTTGAGTTTAGGAGAGATTTACGCACGTTTGTGTGCGCCTTGCATTACCCTGTGTGCGTCCTTTGCCTCCGGGCTTTTTTGC